GCTCTATCTGCATCTGAGATCTCCTTGGCTCTCCTCCAGCTCTATCTGCATCTGAGATCTCCTTTTGAAAACAAAACCCATCCTGATCGCCAGTTGGTGTGTGTGTGCCACGGTGAGGAATCCTTTATTGCAAACTGGCTACTAGCTCCTTTCATATTCATATTTACACACTCACTCAATGCTATCATTTCCTCTCCTTGTCCCTCTTCATTCCTCACATCCGCACATACACCACTCCCACATCCGCCTACAGTTCAGTCGCACAAGCAGTCCTTTCAGGTCCATGCTATGGATGCTAGAGAATAGCCTATCAAACTTCGTAGTTGTGGTCGACGGTAGTTTCAAAGAGCTTCGAAATCATGGTGCAATGCAACAAAATGAAACAGCTCGTCGGAGCGGAAGCGTTTGTATCTCTAGGAATCAAATGATTATCCATCCCTGAGTTGATATATTTCACGTGGCGAAATCAAAGACGGAACACTGATTGTCAGAAAAATCACACAGAATACACATTGAAACTTCCCGGTGTTTAAAATTGAAAATTGACAGCGGCACCCGTTGCTACCGTAGTTTCTGCCCACCTTTTATGCCATCCGGAGACACGCGAGTAACTTCAAATATCTATGTAATGAGAAAAAAATTCGGATGTGTTCCGCAATGACTTTCGTACCAAGCCCAGAGTTGTCTATGTGCATAAATTTGCACTTTCTTCCAAAAAAAAACTATCACAAAAATATTATAAGAATTATACTGACGTCAAAATTCCGGACAAGGGGGTTCTTCGTGCTGAGGAACCCGTAAACGAGCATTGCGAGAAGTTTCTAATTGGCTGCAATTCTGGAAATGCAAAATTTAAGGTGGGCTTGAAATTATGAAACGCAATGTATTTTGTAAACTAATGCCAAAATTATCGAGTTAACAGATTTCAGCTACGTTCACTACCAGTGAAATCCGATGGCCTAAATCAATTTTACCACTTTATAAGTCCTAAGGAATTTTGAAAGTTCAAATTTGGGGTTTTTAACTGCTGTAGTTCTTTGGTTCCATGAAGCTTAAGAAGTTATCAGATCGACTTGGTTGCGCATAGAACGAGTAAGACGCGTACAAACCTACATCAGAGGCAGAGTTCACGATGAAAAGGCAGTTCCGTTAGAAGTCAAGGAAGAGGTGGTTGGTGGTACAAGGAAGGATGAATCCATGAAAAACGGCCCAGAACCCAGGATGGGACCCATTGATGCTGCTCTCGCCAGTGCAATCGTCTTCAATACTAACGCTCTCTCTGCTAAACGCTGAAGTCAAGCAGCGAGGAACTACCTATCGAAGAGCGTGTACGCGCGCGAGCGGAGCGGGTATGCTGGTGGGGGTATACCCTTCGCTGAGAACGCATATATGCCCATATTCTCCAGGGGCCCGCCAGCCCTTCCACTTTCTCCTTCATCAAGTTCAAACCTTTGTTACAAGAATGAGCGAGCAGTTCTTGCGAACTAAGCAGTTCGACTATCACGAGAGTCAACCGTATAACTTTACTTTCGAGCGTGGAAAAGATCCCTCACCTGAATTGTAAGGAGGATCAACATTTTCTTATGGATCTCCTTTGTCCGATCGCTCATCGAATTATTCTTGAGGCAACGGTTGATCTCAAACGCACAAAACGGATTCAGTTGCGCCACAGCAAGCATCATCACCAACGATTCAATAACTATCGCCAATTTTCTCGTATCGGCTCCTCCCTGATAAACACATTGTGTAAGCAAAAAACTGGCATATGTGACGTTCAGGTTTACCTAATGCTACCCAATGCATCTCACATATGCACTTCTTCTGTAGGTGTGATACTTACAAGCAGGGTCAACCGTCCGTTGGACAAAGTCCAACGCATGGCTCTCTAGCGTGTGAGAGTAATGCCGAGAGTGAACAGACGGCTCGCGCAAGGCGAGTGCGAATGCCGGCGCGGAGAGCGGTCAACGTCGGTCCAACGTCGGTCCAATGTCGGTCCAACGTAACGGTTGACCCTGCTTACAAGTAGCACCCGTGCTATCGAATGAGAAAACTTACCCAGCTTGTAAAGCCAATGTACACTCTATCAAAAAGCTCTATTTCACCATTCCACACATAGTGAGCCACTTCGGCAATAGTTTCGTTGGGCCACATTCCAAACAGTATCATTGCTACCCAATTTGCGACGAGCAGCAAATTGACCAAAAGCCCTATTATCAAGTAATTTTTAGACGAATAAATGTAGGCGAGGTTATTCCTGGAAAGACTCATAAGTAGGACGTGGAAGTGGTAGGTGAATGTGTTTGTTCTTCTCTCATACTTCGTTATTCAGAATCAAAAAACGTCTTCACGGTAGCTTACCGGCACAGAGTTATATACCGATACAGAAAAATATTTCCCACGACTAGCAGAACACCAATAGTTACGGAACACAGGAAAGTAAAAAATATCATGCCATAGGGCCAGAACGTACTCAATGGCCCTGTACTCATGAAAACAAAAGTGAAGTCGCGAGAATGGGGAATCTGAAAGTGGCGATTACAGGGTGGCTACTAAATATTGGCGCATGGATTGTTGACCATATTTTAAAACGAGAAGCTTTTACATCTTCAGAGGTTTATCTTTATATACCTTATAACATGGCAGTACATTGCTGAAGAAAGTGCTCGAAATGGCCTCCTTTGGCAGCGATACAGGCTTCAAGTCTCTTCTCAACTGACATCACTGTGGGCCGCAAGTAGCTGACGTCAAGCTCCTTCCACGCCTCCTCCAAGGAAGCCTTCAGGGAGTCCAAACTTCGACGTTGCTCAGAAGGCATCTTCTGCTTCAAGAAGCCCCACACCGCCAAATCAATTGGTTCAAATCGGGCCACTTAGATGGTAAAACATTTGTGCCCGGTAACTTGGAAAATGACGGTCACAGTCCTCCAACATTAATTTTGCGGCATGTGGAGGCGCCCTGTATTTCTGAAGAATGCAATCGATGATCTGGATCAAATATTTGCAAAAGAAGGAGCATTACGTGAAAATTGTTTCCGTGTAGATCTGGGCGCTGGCTTTGATGTATTCATCCACAAAGACAAGCGGTGTCATGGTTTCAGAAGTAATTCCTGCCCAAACCATGACAAATTTGAAAAACGGTTCCTTGTGTGTACACAAGGTCGAGCAGAATGTCTGCTAGCCAGATCCAACAACTGTGTCGTTTTGCAAATCGTGCGCCACTTCTGGTCTGAAGATCTACTCACGTCACGCCGACGTCAGCTACTTGCGGCCCACGGTGATGTCAGTTGAAAAGAGACTTCAAGCCTGTATCGCTACCAAAGGAGGCCATCTCGAGCACTTTCTTTGGTAATGAATTTTCATGTTTTATTGTATATAAAAATAAACTTCTGAAGATATAATAGCTTCTCTTTTTGGAAATATGATCAATAAACCATGCGCCAATATTTAGTAGCCACCCTGTACAAATCTTTCATATGGTTTCCAAAAAATAAATGCAAATATGTAGTGCAGAAGAAGATCAAGATCACAACGGTAACTTTTTTACTCAAATCACCTCACTTCTTTTCAAAATTCACTCCTAATTTAATATAATTGTGCCATTTTATGATTGCAGTGGATTGAGAAACTTATGGCAGAATGTCATGAAAATTTTATGATTATTTTATGATTGGCGTTTTGAAATTACTGCTGACATCACATCATGCCTGCATTATGGAGAACGGCCCTGTGGTTCTCATACGTTTTTCAGAAGGGTGTATCCGAAATGCGCTGATAAAATGGCAAAATCTAGGGGTGCCCTGGTACAGTTTCTCAGGGACGGCCAATACACGCATGCGTTTTTACCATAACTTCGTAAACACCGTCGGTTGTGGAGGACACTTTGAGGGGAACACTTCAAGCAAAGTGGTTTAATTTTGCACACAGAATTGAAAGAGTTTGTGAGGGGGGTCGAGGGATCGGTGGCGAAGACGAAGATCAAATCTCCCTCGTTTTTGCGATTTTGTCGCGCTGAGGCAACTAGACAGTGAGCGCGGAAAAGAGAGGGTGGGGAGAGAGCACGACGAACGAGAGGGCGTTGACACTAGTATGTTGCAATGAGGAAAATGACATCGAAGCGATTTTCAAAAAGCCCTAGTACCTTTTCTCGCGCAATTTTTATCCTGAGAGCGATACATCTGCTACTCCAGTGGAGAGCTCTCTGCTATTCACCAAAAGGACTGGTCCAACTGAGCTCGTATGTGCTGTACCTCAGGCCCTTCAACGATCTTCAGCAAAGTTGTGCCAAAACCCAAATGATATAAAGTACTACTGTACTCTAGTTCGGTTAGAAGCTGGGTGCATTACGGGGCAATGAAGCCCAACCGCTTAAAATCTTTGGAAAACGGTTATCGTCCTTCATTATTGCGCAGAATTCTTAAACCAAGAAAGCTCTCTTACGCCAAACCCACGCGCCTAATCCGAAAAGTCTTTCAGTCGCGAATTCCAGACGAAAGAACGCTGCTTTGGTGAACGAATTCAAATAAACCTTTTAAAAATTAATCTCAGCGATGCAAGTGTACCCTAAGAGGAACTCTATGAAGAAACGGCCGAGACCCAGACATGAGTAACCCTTCTTGCACAACGATTTGGGCGCATGATAGCGACAGCCTCATCGTGTGCTTCTTTCGAACAACTGACCGCGCCCTCTCTGACCTGTCTGATCACTCCACACACGTATAATCGTGCGGCGAGTGATCAATGACGTGGCGTGCACTAGGCCCCCGTCAAGACTAAGCCTTATTAGGTCGCACGAGGTGCCACTCTTCGTGCCAGTTCGACTCAGTCCCGCACCTTTAGAAATCCGCGGATAACGTCAACTAGGTGAACGCTCCGTGATTCAACACTTCATTCAATAGCGTGGAATTTCCTTACCTTAAAATTAAACAAGAGTATGAAATTTCGGTAGCTCCGCAGTATCTGGAACTTCCTTGATGATACCGGTCACCGGTGCTGATCACAAGTCGCATATGGCATATGCCCGGTCCATTTATAATGGCTTCATAAGTAGCAAATATCTGAATGATCAGCATTTATTCAGGGCGAAAGTGCGGAATGGTAGGAACTAGCAGAAACGTACAGTTTGGCGCACACGGCCAGAGAGTCAATTGTTATACCCCAACGATGGAAGAAATCGGGTAAGACATATACTGAAAAAGGCACGCTTGGTTTATCTTGTTGAAAGGATGGCGACAGATGTGAAAAGTTAGTGAGAGGAAGAACGCGATGAAATTGCATGTTGAAACGTGTTTGTCTGGCCGCTTGCCACAATCTTCATTACGCACGCCATTCCTTGATTTTCTGCTTTTATTTGGCATTTAAGCATTGCTATTACAGTTGCTGGTCAAAGAAGCCATCACAATTGAACAGTTTTTTTCTTTGTGGAAGGTGGGAACGAAGTCTTAGGCAGGCAAGAAGTCAGAATGCTTTCGATGCTGCTGTTGTCGATTTCCCCCGTGGTTTCCTGCTTCTTTGTGAGAGTTAGTCTTAAAAGGTAGCCGGGGGCGTATGTTTGCGTTAGTGCGCCAAAAATGAATCTTGCTGTTTATGATGCTTTAGGCAAACATGAGCTTGCCGTCCTCGCCATATTGGCTTCTTGAGTGCAACTCCTACTTGAAAGAATGGCTAGGTTGCAGACCCGTTGACGAGTAAACAAAAGGGTAAGGAGGCAGCACCTAAGACATTTTCGTCTCAAGATTAGATGGTGAAGTGTCACACTTTTATACGAGGCTCAAACGTGTGCCTCCTACCAATTTGAAGCGCCGATGTCATTTCTATTAGGAATCTTCATCTAGTGGTGACATTGCTACAACGTGGACGGCATCAGAAAAGTTTGTGCCAGTAGAAACGATGGTAGCGTGGTGGTCGCAACGAGCTCTAATGGGGTTTTCGACCTTGAATGTGGGTAGATACCGGGTTATCGCGACGGTTCCGAGGGGTTTGCCTTTAGAGCGGTAGAATTCCCTAGTGACTATCCCCATTGAGAGTGATTCAGGGAAATTATAGTGAGAGTTGTCGGCTGTGAAGTAGTTTACTGGCAGCCTTATGCCAAGAGTCCGAGACTGTACCGGCGCGTCAGGATGAGGCGACTGGTCGTCCTCGCGAAGACAGCTCCACGAGTTAGTGAGGGAGGAGCACTGTGACGTGTCACGGTATCATAGCGTGGACATTCTAGAGGAATGATTTTACTAATATTTTGCCACTGAGAAATTTCGTAAGGCGACGGCCAATCTCTGCGAGTAAAAAAAGGCGGAAGACGACATGTTGCAAATGGTCGTTTTGCCGTTGAGGATCGACCCGCCCCCATCTTCCCCTGTATACATGGACGGAAAGGGCGGCGCGGAGCAAATATACGCCTCCATATTCTTCAAAGGTTCTCGCTAAATTCTGTCCCTCGTCTCGTCGGCGGCCTTTGCAGTGAGCAATTCATCTTGTTGAAAGACATAGAGATTGAAGGCACATGAAAATGTATCCAGCAAAGCTGGCTCGTGAGAAGTGAGAACCTAATAAATTCTTTAAGTACCTCAATTACTTCAGCGGCTTTCAAGGAAAAAATTGCCATACATCGAGAACGAGTTACGTTAACACTCTGTAAGCACTTTGAACAATTTAATGGATACGCAGTAGAGCAGCTGTTTCAATTACCTGTCCCCTTTTTGCATTCAAATCCCTTTCTTCAAGGTGTGACAATGTGCTACAGATTGCCATAATAATGAAAAGCGATTTCGTGCTGCGTCAGAAGACATTCATCCCAGAAAGACAAGGGTGCCGGCAATGGGACCTGCCTTTTGAAGGTTTTTTTTTCAATGTTTTCGAGTCACTCAAGCGCTGTTTGTGACCGCTAACTTAAATTGCATATTATTAAGCTGTCGGGAAAGTTTGGCTCATCTGTCAACTTGACAAATACAATTTATGAACCATCACAATCATCAAAACTTTGCTCTTCAGAGGGTAACTTCTGATTGCCGGTCGTTCAGAAATCCTGAGCTTTTGAGACAAAAGCTCTAAGCAAAATTCTGTGCTTGGTCTACTGAAAACGCCAGGTGGGTCAGATCATCCCATGAGAGGCTTGAAGACTTTTACTGGGCCTTCTTCTATTTTGTCGCGACATTGCCGAGGTAAAGTAATTGATTGCCAGATTTTCCGAGCACCATGTCAGCGAACCGATCCACTTGCCAACGTTCAGCAATAACAGTGCAAATCATGGGCAACAGATCTCCGTGAGCGAGGCACTTAGTACAGTTTCTTGAGCTTTCATAGTTGCTTCCCAGGTTGCAGTACTAGACTAGGCTGCACTCCTTCGTTCTACGCATCTGACGATGAGGCAGTCGTGCTTCCGCGTGTGGCTTATGTGAAGATCTGACTTCTTGTTACCACCAACAAGGTTGTCGGCTCAAATGAGAGACAGACACTAAATCAAAATGTTGCAAAAGTTCTCTGCCTTTGAAGGAAGTGGTCAGTCAGATCGTAAAATTTACTTGCGCTATAATTTCACTTCTTTTCGAGGCGACATTGAGGGCGGCTATTATGCTCTGATAGCTCTGGAAAAGCTCAGGTCTGGAGAAGCTTGAAATGAAGAGTTGCCGTGCATTGCACCGGAAACTCTCCATTCAGTGTGTCAGGCCCATCAGATTTTTGGTTTTCTCTCAAGTATCAGACATCGGCAATCAAATAATTGTCGTGTCGTGAAGGATGGTCTGGTTTTCCACCAACACGTAGCCTCTTGCTGCGCCGCTTCAAATGACGCACTTTGTTGGCTTAGAAAGCAGAAGAGGTCAAACATACCTTCAGTGCAGTTTTTCAGCTAAGACGCTGCGAAGTGCTACATGAGAAAAGCCTTGGAGAGAGCATTGACGAGTGCTCGCATACGTTTTACATTGATGTTTCAAAACGATCTGAAAAGATTTCACAGGTTGAAAAAAATGCGCAAAAAGGTTTTCCGACTACCTACCACTTCCTCGCCTATTAGTACGTAGGTGGTGCAGAAAATAAATCAATATTCTATAATCTTTCGAATATCATTACTAAAAATCACTTCCGCTAAGATACTCTCTGACAGAACGAGGCGAGAGAAATTATTTTACCCACGTGTTTCTATCACCTGTCAAACACACAATTCAAAAATGAGCTCGCAGAATTGGCGTGAGTTACTGACCGCTGACTAATGCAATGTCCCAAAAGTATAGGTTCAACTCAATTGCCATCTACGTCTTTGGAACAAACCAATGATCTCTTTCCAATGGCACGGGCACGCCAGGACCCGCGCACACCATATGAGGCGCAACTCTTGAACACAAGTCGTACGGAATTGACGACACCATCAGTGCATTATATTATAAGCCGGACCTTGGCCCGGCGGTTTGTCGCGATGCCATTGGGTATGTCGGTATGTACAGTCCATATCTGGCTGTCTGATTAGGCGGGTCTGCGGATTTCGCGTGGCGGCCGCCGATTCCAAAGTTCACGCTCTGTAAAACATTCTATCCCAATTCCACAGTATTGGTTGAATTTTTGAAACGACTGATCTTTTGTGAAAAGCTTTGAGTTCGAAGTTCAAGGTGATTGGACAGGTTGGAATGCGGACATGAACGACGCGAAGGCTTGCGCGATATGGACGGATATAAACAGGAGAGGTAAGCAAACCAGCCCTTTTGGCGTTTCGGCTGGGACCGTATGCTGAATGTTGGGGAGGGGATGGGGTCCCCAACGGTCGACGGTTTACTTCAACTCGGTTGGTACGATAGGAGAGTACTGACGCAAGTGGTGCAGCTGGTCCAGCAGCTCCGCCAGAAGGGCTGGTTTGCTCACCCCAGGACTAAGCCTTGGAGAGGGGACGGACCCGTCCTCTCTTTAAGGCTTAGTTCTGAGGTAAGCACCAAATTGTGGCGGTTTCTAAGGACCGAGTTGAAGTGGTCCGTCCACCGTCGGGGACTCCATCCCCTCCCCAACATTCAGCATACGGTCCCAGCCGAAGCGCCAAAAGGGCTGGTTTGCTTACGTCCTATAACAGTAACCGACTTATTTCACAATTTTTCGTAAGTGCCGACTCTTTCACAATTTTGCGTACTGAAAAACGTTTCACCAAACAGAACTGGGCGAAATGCAGGATTCAGACCTGGTTTTTATGGAAAGTTTAAGTTCGGAGTTTCAAGTTGAATTCAGTTGGAAGGGAGAGATGGACGCGGACCCCTCACGCTGCGAATGAATACACATGCATTCAACAGAACCATTATTTGTTGACACTTAATCGTTTGTAGACCTGGTTAAATCGCTGTATTGGAATGCTCCGGAACCCTTATACCTGGAATTTCAGGTGAAATGCTTGAACTACATCGAGCGGTGAATATGGGCTGCCACCGTCCCGCGAGCACGCGCGTGTAGATGGATTATGCAACATTTGACTAATATTGGCACCTCCGCCTACCTCGCACCTTTGCCCTGCACGTAGGCGGAATTGCCTGTGAGTACTCCAATCAACTGCTTGTTCGTGTTGACCCGCAACAATGAGAGGCGCAAAGATGATGTAAAAAATGATGAAAAACACCGATTCAAGTAGAAAAAATGCATTTGAGAGAAAAAGAGACATTACTTTGGGAGCGTTCAAAACCTAGCACATCCCTGGTTGATATTCACAGCATATTCACAGCCCTCGTCTTCCAGTTGTGCTCACACAGTACACCCTACGCGTACGCACCAGCACATAAGGCGCAATTAATAAAACAGGGGTTTCAAAATAATCACTTCACTTAACTATTTCGCAGCAGTGGCCTCCAAACACCTATAATTATTAACCGCTCGATTATTCCATTCGCTGTCTAGGAGAGCAAAACCTCTTCAAAATCATTTGTTTCTTTTCAGGCTGTTCTGAAGCATGGGACAATCTGAACGACGATCGAATACCCGCGGCAGAAGGCATATGCTTTCTCTCGACATGTTCGTCAATGTGTCCTGGACAAGTGCGATGGTGTCGAATTTTAGGGAATATGACATGTTTGTAGATTGACTCTATTTTGGAAACACATCTTGATGCCTTTTTTCTCCTCGGTGCAGCAATGATTTGTCAAGCGACCAATAATTTTGCCACACCTTAAAGGAATCCTTCACGGAAAAATCATGATTCTATTTCAGCCATAAATCACTGGCTTGAGACTCATTATCCACGATAAGAATGAAAAGAACAGAAATATTGCTTTTGTTTTGGTAAAAAAATTCGAAAAATCGAAAGGGCTGCTACGCGTTCAAAGTGCCCACGGACGTCTTTCACAAATGCTGGCGACGGGGATGCTTCCACTTGGTTCTTGGAGTGCCTTCACTAGAAACTCTTTCTGGCCTTCTGCTTTATTGCATTCACATCTTCACACTTCTACTCCATCCTATTCTATCGATCGATTTGTCATTGCGTCGCCGATACGTAGCCGGCCAAAGGCCAACTTCTTTCCATGCCTCGCCTTTGGCTCCGCCCGAATTACCTTCGATTGTCCATAGTGTAGTTTTTGTACGTTTGTTTCTCTTCGGAAACCGAATCTTCATGCGTGAAACTTTGTGTGCTGTTTCCAGTGATCACAACTGACACATTCATGTTAAGAAAGAATGCAAGAATTTTCCGCGCAAGGATTCCTTTAAGGCATGACAACGATGCAATTTACTGGCTGTAAAGCACACGAGATAGTGCTTTATGACGCTTTTACAAAAGAAAACAATCATGCTATTTTATGCATAAAATACAACGTATTTATTTGCACGTAGAAGCCGTTCTGACTGTGATAGCAGGAGGTATAGTGGAGGGGTTGACTTTTTTAGAAATATGTAATGTTGTAAGCAGCACTTTTCGATAGTCTTTGACGAATACTACAGTGATAATCGGTCCCATTAGCGGATAGAGTGCCATTGCAATACCAACAAAATTGTCTATAAAAGGTGGACTAGGAAGTCCAGTGAAGAGCAGTAAAAACATAATACCCAGCGGAAGATTCATAAATAACGTTGGGCTTGTAATCTGAAAGATGAATTTGATATTTGTACAATTACTGCTGAAATGTACGTAGGTAACTTATGTGTTGTTCCTATTTTTCACCTCGCTGGTTTTCATCTCACTCTTGTGTTATTGAATGTTTTGTACATGATAAATACCACACCTTTCAGGATTTTTTGGGGCGTCATCCAGTAAGGGGGGCATGTGCTGCGACAGTTCATATTGCATGAAGTAATCCACTTTTTTCAGGGGAGGGAAGCTCCGGGGTGGGTGTAAAAGTTAAGCGAAATGGTTCACGCACCCCGGGGATTCCCTCCCTTGCAAAAATTGGAATTTCTGTAGCCGGCAAGAACTGTCACACCACATGCCCCCTTACTGGATGAGACCTTTTTCGTATTCCCACCTGAATTGATAGGAGGATGAGCATCTTCTTTTGTATCGCCTTGGTCCGACTGCTCAAAGAGTTGCTTTTGAGGCAGCGGTGGATCTGCATTGCACAAAATGGGCTCAGCTGTGACAGAGCAAGCAGCATCACCAATGATTCGATGAGGATGGCCAGTTTGAATGGATCAGCTCCTCCCTGTGCAAGAGAATATGAATACGTACAGTAAACAAAGCCAAATTATACGCAAAGGTAAAAAAAAATTCACAAGTTCGGCACTATTTACCCTTTACTGCCCCACTTTGTGAAGACTGAGCCTGGATTTTTATCGAAATTTTTCCTTGGGCACGAAACCCGCTAGAAACTTGCCCCGGGGGTAAGTTTGACCCGTAGAACACGAATATCGCATCCGCTTGCCACGAAAACGCCTGGCGCCCGCGCCACAGGCGCCGGCGCCAATTGGCGCTGGATCACCAAACTCGCTGAAAACTTGCCCCCTGTAGTTTGACCCGTAGAACACAAATATCACATTTATTATACATGGGAATATCGCATTCGTATTCTTTTGTGGCCCTAAAGAGGGCCGTTGGTTTAGTACTGTTGGTCCGTGACTCGGTGGAAGATGTTCAACACGGATAAATCTCTGCAATATGCTCGAAGAAGTTGAAGATGATCTCTCCAGGCTCTCCAAACTCGCGACGCCAC